AACGAAACGATAGACCAAATAAGTTCTTCTACCTCATTAATTAAGTGGTTAAAAAATGTCTAAACAGCTTCCAGTTTCACTACATTCAATTTAATATATTTGTGATAACAGATGTGGAATCCCTTAGGATTGTGTAATTACAGCATCAAATTCTGCTCCTCTTTCTACATAACAAATTGTCTATGCAAACACTAGGATACTCTTTAAAATTCCTAGTGCTAGGAGCTAAAGATCCTTGCATTTCTTTAGTTTCCTTCACAACCACTGTTCACTGTCACTTTCATGTACTCAAATGGATTACAAAACCATTAACTTTTTCAATTGTCTTGAAGGAAGTCCAGTACATATTGCCTGTGAAGAACATCATACATGCTCTATTAAGTATTTGGATGCTAGATGATATTTTTCCATAACGAAATGTCTGACAATATCTTTGGGCAAATTCTACTTGTTCGTTATGGAGATATTATGCTAGATATCATAATCTTTGGCATCGTGATATTTAATAATCTAAATGATTTTATTTACTTTTATGCATTGTCCTGTTTAAGTAACTCGATTGCTAATAGATGATTTGTTAATTTAGTATTAACTGATAGTGGATAAATGACATACTTCACTAAAGTAATTAACAATCTAAATGATTTTGTTAATTTTTATGCATTCATCAGTTAAGCTCCATAGTTGTAGTCGGTTGCTGCTACTGTTTGTTTCGATTGATTAGTTACTGTGTAAATTCTTGTACCTCATTAGCTGGCGGTAGTATTATTGGGTCTCGAGGTAACTTTCATGAACTCAATTGATCTTTCTTTATTTATCAATTGCAACGCTAGATAAATTTGTCATTTTGAATATTATTCGGTTTCCTTGTAGTTTGGCACAGTTCATTATATTTATGCAGCACAATCATTATGGAAGTGAAGTGTCTGTTGCTCAGGTAATAAACTTGGGATAGTGATTAGTGACTGTGAGAAGCAATCAAATTTAGCAGGATGAAGCAAATTGGCAACTGTGTCAAGGCAAGTTTGCTTGTATCAAGTTATTCACAACCAATGTCAGATTTGTATATATGACGACACCAAATTTGCCTGCCTCTCAAGGTTATTTGGCTCTTGAGACTGGAATAATTTCTTCATAAAGTTATGAAATAAACGTGATCGACCCTTTATGAAGGTCATGTTTTCAAATTACTGTTAATCTGTTAACAAATGGAATGAATTTGGATTTATATAACATGTATATCAAAATAATTTACTGCACGTTAGCAAAAATCAATGGCACTTGATGATCATGAACAATATAGTTACAAAGATAAAGGTACTTATAATTTTGAAGATAATGAGACTAAGTACAAAATATTTATATATTCCACATTATTCACAGACAAATAAAATTACGAGCCTATTAAACTCCAAATCAATCAGAATAGATTCCCCACCATTTTTTATTGTACAAGTTGCTGACCGAATTTAAAAGAGCAATTCAAATATAATGTGAAATTTTTGTCTAAAACATGAACCTGAAGGCTGAAGCCCCTCGTTCCCAAGACACTCCTCAAGTTTAATAATATTCAAGAAAACGTAAGTTGTGACTCCTCAAGCTCTCTTTTCGTAGTAGGGTCCTTTCATAGTCTAGTTGAACTTCAATCTGAAGCTCCACTTCCCCAAGGCATTCCTCTTGTTCCTCTAATATCTTCTTTGAAGAAAGCACAGCTGAGTCCGAACACTTCCACACCTTGATCTCCCTAAGCGTGGTTATTTCCCCAATTTCCAGTGGGATCTCCTTCAGCTTGTCTATATACCACAGTTCAAGCCGCTCGAGTAGCGGGAAGTGTGTGGCCTCTGCCCTCCATTGTTCCAGACTGCTGCAGCTGTCGATTTGCAAGTACTTCAGGCTCGGGAATCCGCCCTCGGCAGTTTCCCAATCGGGCCCCACGAATGAATTATCCTCTAGCTTGAGGGCCTCGAGATATGGCAACGAGCCTATCTTTGTTCCCATCTCCTCCCACATCAGGTACGTGCCAAACAGAGTCAGTTTCCTGAGCGTAATCGGGAACAACGTCACCTCAATTCGTCGAGAGAGTGATGAATAGCATGAAATTGAAAGGCACTCCAGCTTGCGTAGCCTACATAGATTGTTGAGACCATAATCAACCGGTGATATCTCCTCCATGTATCTTATTCCGAGCTTCTTGATGTTGGGGATTCTCTCAACCACTTCCTCACCCAACCTCAAGTTCCATACGTACTGGAGCGTCTCTAGATTCTCCAACACCATCCAACCATGTTCTTCATCCATTGGAGGAGGAGGAGGATCCGTGAGCCAGAGACTCCATACCTTGACGTGCCTGAGTTGGGGCATCCGCCAGATGTCCAGCACCCGACTTATATGGGGCAAATCAACTATTAACGTCTGTAAATTCCAGAGTCTGTACAAAACTTCCACAGGGAATTGAATCCTTAGGCCAACCAGGTGGCACAAGTTGACAGGAAGAAATAATTCTTGTCCAGAATATTTATGCCTGTTAATAAATCCATTCAGAATCCTCAGCAATCTAAAGTGAACTGCAGATGGCAAACTTCCATCAACGTTCCATATCAGGGTTCTCACTCTTGATGCGGATTGCACAAAATCAGGGAGTCCACGTGGAATGTATTTCCCGGCTTGGTGAATGCCAATACGGCGTTGGGCAGGCCAACTAATTTGGTCGTGATGCTCAGGGTTGTGCGTTGTTTCCATTGTGCGAAACAATTTGTATTTCTCAGCCTCCTTTATGCATAGGTCTCTCAGGAGATCGTGGATGCCGCATCGTCTTATTCTTCGAGTGCAGCCCCACCCACGGACCAATATTAGATTTCTGATGACAAGACCATGTAGGTACACTTCTCTCGCAATTGTTTCCAGACTTTTACCGGCCACTGGTTTCACAAATCCTTCACTAACCCATAGTTTGAGGAGCGTGGGGACGTGAATCTCGTGGTCCTCCGGGAACATGCCCATGTACAGAAAACACGGCTTCAGGTGCACCGGCAGTTGATTGTAGCTCAACTTTAGTATTCTAAAGCAATGCTCGCCCTCCTCTGAATTCACGGTCGAGCTTAAATTTTCTAAAACATGTTGCCAGTTTTCACGTGTCCGTTCAGACTTTGCTAAGAGTCCTCCGATCACGACAATTGACAATGGAAGGCCTCCGCAGTTCCTGGCAATGTCCTTCCCAATCTCTTCCAATTGCGGCGGGCACCCTTGTTGTTCCTGAAACACACACCTACGCAGCAGATTCCAACTTTCGTCCACCTTCAGAAAAGGCATTTGAAAGTAGTCTGGGCCATCCAACTGCAAAGCCACATTCGATAGCCTAGTGGTTATCAACACTTTGCTCCCGCCTTTGTTATCTGGAAAGAAACGTTTCACCATGTCCCACGCGTTCGTACCCCAAATGTCATCCACCACAATCAGATATCGTCGGCCGAATAAGCTCTGATACAGATTTTGTCCTAATTCTTCATATTCGCTGTCCTCACTCCTTTTGTTTCTCAAAGAGTCAAGGACTTGTAACAAAATCCTTTTCGAATCAAATTCTTGAGAGACTGTAGCCCATCCGCGAATATCAAATTGTTCGACAATAAGTGGATGTTCGTAAATTCTTTTAGCAAGAGTGGTCTTACCAATACCGCCCATGCCGGCAATCGCGATGACCCAACGATTGGATTGTTGATTGGTCAGCTTATCCATGACATCATTCATGAAACCCGCCATCGTGATGTCCCCCTTGGAAGAAGGACTGTTGTTCAGCTTATCCGCGAGGTCATTCATGGAATCATCGGAACCCACCATGGCGTCATTGGAAGGAGCAATATTTTCCCCCGCCTCGTCTTTAATAGCAGCCACGTCTTTTGTGATGGATCTCAAGTCGTTGATCACTTTCTGTAGGTTTCGATACGAGCTGTTGTTATTTATATAAAGAGTCATTTTTTGTATCTTTTTCTTCATGTATCGATACAAAGAGCCGTTGTTCAAACTGATGTTAGCCTTCCCACGAGCCTCAATATGATCGGCAATATAGGACTCAACTATATCCTCTGCTTTGCGAGCCGCATCGGCCATACGCCCCACCAAGCCATCTGCATCATCAATGGCATAGTTTTCAATAAAATGCAGCAAATAAGTAACCATTTCTATAAGAGGTTCGATTTGCAGTTTGTCGAGGGAGATGGGAGGGCGAGGGTGATTTTGGATTTGGTGTATGGTGTTCATAAGAGAAAGCAGAGCTGCATAAGCTGCCATTGATAAATGAAATCCAATCCGCTTTAGTTTGGGAGAGTGTATGATGGGAACTCGAGGCAGGAAAATTTTTTCTGAAATGTTTGTGGTGAAGAAAAAGAAAAACATTACTTATATTGTATGAGCTGTGATTTGTGAAACAACTAGTTTCTCCATTGTTGCAAAACGCTGACTTCCAGTTGGGACCACTAATTAGATTTAATTTAATCTAAAATATTGTATGAGATGCCTTAAATTGTCAAAGGTTTCTGTCATACTTTTAAAATATGGGTTGAAGTGTCATATATTTATTTTTCAATATTTTATTTTTAAACATTGTTGACATCTTATTATATTAGTTATAAATAATTGTATAATAGAATAATTTTATTTTTTTCTTTTTACATTTTACGGTCGGGTCGGAGTAATATCCACATTCGATGAAAATCGGATTACCTTAATGGGTAAAATTCTACCTGAACCGGTATATAAATAATTATATATGTATCTTTTTAATAAAATATTAAGCTATCTATTAAAATTATTATCAACCAAATATTTTTTTTTCTTTTTTATGATATGATGTAGATCACAGGTCGGATATGGATGTCTTGAAGAAGTATCTACTCAGCAAGGATTCTTGAGAAAGGACATGTTTTCGCTCATGTACTTTTTCATGTTGCTTTAAAGCAATCAAGGCAGGTGAGCTGCAGTAGTTGTTGTTNTTTTTTTTTTTTTTTTTCTCGTTATTATTGTTGTTTTTACTCTTGCTTTTTATGTATTATTGGAATTTATGGTTTAGGTTTTTCCTGGATGGATTTTAACTTTTAAGTTACGTGTACCATGAATTGGATTTTGACTTTGAAGAACCTGTATCTGTGAAAGATTGTGTTGGAATTTTTGGTTTTAATAAACTGAGTTTATGAGTTGATCGGTTGGTTTAAAGCTTTTTGGCATCATTTGGTGTAGGAAATGCTTTGTTTTTATGGAACATAATCTTGTATAATACTTTGTCGTGTGATTAACAGGGTTGTCCTTGGAAAAGAAGTAAAAAGAAACACATTGGTCGTACGCAAAAACTCCAATGGCATAGTAAATATATAGTAAAAATGCAGGTACCTCTGTGATATTATGTCAAATTTTTGTTTGTATTATTAGTAGCACGGTTAGATTGTTATTGACTTTTGGGACTGATTCGGTTTCAACAGTAGCTTATAGCCACTGTAGTTTCGTAATTTTCCGGATTCATTTCTGAAGTATATGTTCTTGAGGACCATTCTGTAATCATTTTCAAGGTATACTTTCTTGAGGGCCATCTCAAATCACAAAAATGTTTTGATCTTTGGCATGGATTGTTGTAGGAGATTTCGATAGGAAACCTATGTGTTTTTCGCGAGGTAGTTGATTAGCCAGCTATTAGACTCTTGGCTCTGCAAACAGTCCTTGACAATTTTGTATTGTGCATAGGTTGAGTAACTGAGTTGTTGATGCCTGACCCAGTTCTTGTGAAAGTAGTCTTTAGTGAAATATTTTAGAGATGTGGCTGCCTATTAAATTGGTGTGACCCGATGAACAGTTGTCGGACGCAACATACTATAAATAATCCTAGGAATCCACTTTAATAGGATTCCAATTTTCTTGACCAAGAACATGGATTGTAACAGATATTCTCTCATTGAATACAGCATTAAAGACGGAATCCGACATCAAATGGCCAGAGAATCCGACCTAAATAAAACCCATCTTTTACGCAAATTCTGTGTTTAAATCCGGCCAATAATTAATGTCATATAAATTCTGCTCATGAAATAATCCTATTTTCATGTACTTAGCTTTGTGATAAGGAATCCAAAACCATTTACTTTTAATTTCATCCCAGCCATTTCTCTTTTATATTTTACTTTCAGTTGTCCGTAGATAACACATGCTTTATATGTGATGTTAGATGATATTTTCCAACAACAACAACAACATAGCCTTTAGTCCCAAGCAAGTTGGGGTAGGCTAGAGATGAAACCCAAGAGAAACAATGGTAAGAGAAACACAAAAAGGGCTCGAAACAAAAGGAGGAGGTTGTAACAAAAAGAGAAAAGAGCAAAAGTCACGGTTCTGGCACGTGGATTGCTAGCCTCCAAGCGCTCCTATCCACCGCTAAATCCTTGGAGATATTCCAATCTTTAATGTCTCTCTAACCGACTCTTTTCAAGTGAGTTTAGGCCGACCTCTACCTCTCTTTACATTCTCGACTCGCTGAAGAACTCCCCTACGCACCGGTGCATCAGGAGGCCTCCGTTGGACATGTCCGAACCACCTCAGCCGATGTTGGACCAATTTCTCTTTTTTGGTTGTAAACAGGTCGAAAACATGGAGCACAGCTGTTGTAAATATTTCATAAAGTTATGAAATAAAAGTGATCGACCCCCGATGAAAGTCCTGTTTTGAAATTATTGTTAATCTGTTAACAAATGTGATCATTGTTGACTTTACGTACCGATTGAGAATACAATGGGAAAAATAACTTTGCCCATACGAAAGCATTGGAATATTATGTTGGACCATCAGAACGATATCCATTCTTACCACCAGCCACGTTTCCAAGTTCAGTAAACTGTAAAGTTTTGACTCCTAAACTTTTCTTCCTGTAGTTGGGTATTATTGATCAGCATAACTTGAATCTAAAGCCCTACTTCCCCATGACACTCCTCTTGTTCCTCTAATATCTTCTTTGCAGAAAGCACGGCAGAGTCCGTACAACCATCCAAGTAGATCTCCCTAAGCGTGCTTATATCCCCAATTTCCAATCAAACAAAACGATCTCTCGAAGCGTGGTTATGTCCATTGCAGATGCAACTTTTTGAGCGAAACCGAGAACGTCAGCTCAATTGGTTGATGGAGAAATAAAGAGCATGACAGGGTCTCCAGCTTGCTTAGACGCCTGAGGTTGTTGAGACCGTGATCTGGTAGTGAAAATTCCTCGGTTCTACCAGCGTATTCTATTCCCAGCTTCTTTGATATTGGGGATTCTCTCAACCACTTCCTCACCCAATCTCAAGTTACGTACACCCTTGAGCGTCTCTAGTTTCTCCAACACTATGAAAAATAAGGGGAGAAAATATCAGAAGAGAAGATCCTTGAAAAAGTTGAAAACCAGAAAATCAGGAAAAATTAAGAACAAAAAATGCAAATTTAAGTTGAAGAGAACTTACTCATGGTAGTAGGTCGGAGAGAACTCCAGAAAACTTGAATTGCAGGTCGCGGAAATCAATTGCAGAAAGCGCGAGAACAAGAGTTAGGGAAGTATCTCGAAAATTCGCAAGGGTGAAAAACCGGACAATGTTACACAAGGAGGTATTTATAAACGGAACTTTGATAAGTGAAAGGGTTGGTGAATTTTTCACCGTTAGATCGAAGCGAAATGGACGATGTGGATTTTCCAGGCTAGTTGAAAAGGTTCAAGGAGGATAACTGTTAGATTAAAACTGGATTCAATGATCGCGATGAAGAGGCACGTTTAATGGGCGCGAAGTATGAGAGGCACAACTCACGACGTAATGATGGTAAGCTGACACACGCGCCTGATAGATTTGACAGTGGCAGTTTCGAGTTTTGAAATTCAAAATGGCGGTCGAAAGGTAAAATGGTCGAGAAACGAGAAATACTTATCCGGTGATCGCCAAGTAACGAGCACGACAACAACCGGCGGGATCGACAAAAATCCACTCTTAGATCGAGTCATTCAGATTCGACCTGGGGGACTAGATGATATGTGATATTATACCTTAAGGAGTAAATTGGTCCATTTTGCCGGTTTAATGAGTCGAGCAAGCAGAACAGGTCATCTCGATCGAGAAGAATCGAGTGGGGTGGTCGTGGTCGAAAACATGGAGTATAGCTGTTGCTAAATTTTTTCGTGCACGAGAATTGTAAAGGTATATTTATAGGCATAAAAAGAATGGAGAATATAAAATGTAAATTATTGATGCATATTGGGAAGTGTGATATAAATAATTGAATCTCAGGTTTTTACAGTCTCTTGCCAATTACATACAAAATACACCCAAGTTTCATATCATTAAAAGTCATATGTATCCAGACATAATTATTATTCCTGGAGTAGTTTTCTTTTGTACTTAATCTATAAAAATAGCAACGAATTATAATGTCTAATCGGCAATTGAGGACTAGTATAAACGATGCCAAATTATTGAAGTTGTTTGTCTGTCCAAGACGATACACCTGCATTCTTTAGTTGTTTCATAATCTCAGATGAGAGCGCCATTAGCATATTCGAAGTCCTTTTATTTATTTTACTTTTTTTGTGAAAGACAAAAATACTTTGCTTAAATCCATATAACATGGTGCAGAGAGGAAAAATTGTAGCTGGTGGTAGTATTATCGAGTCCCAAGTTGTTTGGGAGTGTTCTCTATGTAATGAAGTTTCAGGTGCTAAATGGCTTTAATAGTGGTATTCTTGCAAACACGTGAAGAGCTATTTGAAATAAACAATTGCGGGCCTCAAGTTCTCAGTAGCTTCATCTTCACCCGTAGACCTCAAATTATATTCAAGGATTGGGTGAGCAATTATGAGTTTTATTCAAAACAATTTCTAGTAGCAGTTTTTCATTTATCAAGAATAACTCTGCGAGATCCCATGCTAGTTCATACACTGAGTTCTTAGTATGATTTTTTGTACTGGTCAACTACAAAGGGTACTCTTTGTTTGAGTTAAACGTTTCTATTCTCTTAAATGGTTGTTTTAATTTGGTTTGTGAGTTTGACACGGTTCTTATATTTACGCAACACAATTATATATGGAAGTGAATTCCCTGTTTCCCATGGAATGAAACTGTTGGAATTAATATGGAAACAAGAAACAAACAAAATGATAAAATGAAGAACTTGAAAGCACTCTATTGAGTTCACTGTATTTTTCAATACATAAAAACATACAGAATCATAACTACTTATGTAGAGCTAAACCCTAGAATATCATGTCATAACCAACTCATCCCACTACTATAACCATGACCACAATAAACTGTAAAAACTGCCGTGTCCATGCAGACTTCATGCATGTGAGGGTCCACGTTTCTCTTCATCCACGTTTCTCTTCATGTCTAACATCCCCCCGCAATTCGAAGGAGCTGAGTGGAATAACTTTGAGTTTACGACGCATGCGAGTGAAGAATTGACCTGAGAGTGGTTTAGTGAAAGAATCTGCAGCTTGGTCTATAGCTGGGACATGAAGGACGGAAATAGATTTGTTCAAGACCTTTTCTCGAATAAAATGAAGATCGACTTCAATATGCTTGGTTCTCCCTTGGATTATTGGATTACAGGACATGAAAACCGTACTAAGATTGTCCACCCAAATAGTAGGAGAAGGAAGTTTGGTGACGTGTAATTCATTGAGAAGAATCTTGATCCATAGAACATCTGAAACCGCATGTCCAAGGCTTCTATATTCAGCTTCAGTGCTGCTCCTTGATACAGTGTGCTGCTTTTTAGAACTCCAAGAAACCAAGTTATCACCCACAAAAACACAATGTCCTGATGTTGATTTGCGGTCATCGGGATCTGAAGCCCAATCTGAATCAGAGAAGGCTGAAATGTGAAGGTGTGTTGACTTGGTGATGAGCAAACCATAGTCTAATGTCCCTGCTATATATCTTAAGAGTCTCTTCATAGCTTTCCAGTGAGAGTCTAGAGGTGATTGCATAAATTGACTGAACTTGTTAACTACAAAGGTGATATCAGGTCTGGTCAATGTCAGGTATTGAAGACTACCAACAATTTGCCTGTAAAGGAGAGGATCATGGAATGGATTCCCTGAGTACTTGGACAGAGGTGGTGAAGTTACCATAGGTGTAGACATAGGTTTACAGTTTTCCATGTTTGCCTTCTTGAGAATCTGTGAGGCATAATTGTGTTGTGTTAAGAGTAGTCCTTGGTTCTTGTGATGAATTTCCATGCCCAGAAAATGGTGAAGCTGCCCCAGATCTTTTAGGGAAAAAGCATTGGAAAGAGAAGAAATGACCTGCTGCACAGCTGAAGTGGAGCTGCCTGTGATGATAATATCATCTACATAGACGAGCAGATAAATGATATGGTTGGGTGTGACTTTGATAAATAATGAAGTGTCTGCCAGAGAGGATTTAAAGCCAAGATTTAACAATACAAGACTCAGTTTATCAAACCAGGTCTTAGAGGCTTGCTTAAGACCATAGATAGCCTTGTTGAGCTTACAAGCAAAGCCTGGCATCTTTTGTGTCTCAAACCCAGGTGGCTCTTCCATGTAAATGTCTGTGGTGTTGTCTAGTTCCCCATTTAAGAAAGCATTATCCACATCAAGCTGTTTGATTAGCCATCCTTTAGAGAGAGCAATAGTGAGAATTAACCTGATTGTCACAGGTTTAACAACTGGACTGAAGATATCCTGATAATCAATGCCTGCCACTTGTGTATAGCCTTTGGCTACAAGTCTTGCTTTGAATCTAGAAATGGATCCATCTGCATTGTGTTTGATTTTAAAAACCCACCTGCAGCCTATGGCTTTCCTATCTGTTGGCAAAGGCACAACTGTCCAAGTGTTATTTTTTATCAAAGCTTTGTATTCTGCCTCCATTGCACTTTTCCAATGTGGAGAGGAGAGAGCTTCTGAAATTGATGAAGGTTCTGATTCTGTTAGACTTGTTGAGTAAACTTTAGGCTTAAAAATTCCTCTCTTCGACCTTGTCACCATGTGATGATGAGACTGATTTACAGGTGCTGGTTGTGAAGTGGCTGCAATTGGACTTGAGTTTCTCATGTTTGCAATATCATGATCAGTATGTGATGAAGAAGGTGATGGTGGTGGTGTATGATGAGAGTTTGATAATGAGGGATTTGATGAATCAACTGAGTGTGTGGCATTTGATCTTGATGGAGTGATTAGCTGTGTATCATCATGAGTAGTATGCAATGGTAAAGTATGTGGTGCAGTAATGTTTGAAGATAGAGGTAGGAAGAAAGGTGAAGAATCATCATGTTGCTCAATATGCCTTGTAATAACAGAAGACTTGTATGGAAATGAGTTTTCATTGAAAACAACATTTCTAGAAATGATTATTTTCCCATTTTTAAGAAGGATTCTATAACCTTTAAACTGAGAATTGTAACCCAAGAATACACCCGATGAGGATCTAAGATCTAGTTTGTCTTTAGTGTAGGGTCTCAAGTGGGGAAAACACTCACAGCCAAAAACTCTCAAGTGCTTATAATTAGGAATTGATCCATAGAGTTTAAGATAAGGAGACTCATAAGAGATGGTCTTATTTGGTATTCTGTTTATGAGATAGATGGCTGTAGAAAAGGCTTGCTCCCAAAATCTTTTAGGAACACAAGAAGATGACATCAAGCTGAGAGCAACTTCTACTATCTGTCTGTGTTTTCTCTCAACTAAACCATTTTGTTGAGGAGTATGAGGACAAGAAATTCTATGGATTATGCCTTTTTCTGCAAACAAGGAAGTTAAAGGTTTAAACTCTGTGCCTCCATCACTTTGGACAACTTTGATTTTGTGATTTAACTGGTTTTCAACAAGGTTCTGAAAATGTGTAAAGGCTTTGAGTGTGTCTGATTTTTGTTTAAGAAAATATAACCATGTGAATTTGGTAAAATCATCCACAAAAGCTACATAATATAAGGCTCCTGAAGTTGATTTCATAGGACTAGGTCCCCATAAATCTGTATGTATCATCTCAAGAGGTGCTGTGGTATTGCTAACAGAAGATGAAAAAGGCAAAATATGAGATTTAGCTTGAATGCAATCAGCACAAAATACTTCTTTATTTGCATAAGGAAGGTTACAACCATTGAGAGCCTTCTTAGTTACATCAAAGGATGGATGTCCTAACCTCCTATGCCACAAATCTAAATCTCGAACTGAACTAGTAAAACAACAGCTATTTTTCATCTCATTCTTAGTTTGACTGGAAGACATGGAGGTTGGAACTTGGCTAGACAGCTTTTTCAGCTTGAAGGTATACAGGCCATCTTTAAGAGTCCCTTTGAGAAGTGGTGTTCCTGATGTTTGATCCTTGACAACACAAAAGGTAGGGAAAAATTCAAAAAAGACATTGTTATCCTTGGCAAATTGAGCAACACTAATAAGATTCTTTGCTATTTGTGGAACATGTAATAGGTTGTTTAAGGTGAAAGTATGTTTAGAGGTGGCTGTGTTGTGTTGATTAATGACATGAGTCTTACCAACATGAGATATTTCAAGTCCAGCTCCATTTCCAACCTGCACCTTGTTGTTTCCTGCATAATCTGAAGCAACACTAAGATTAGAGAAATCATTAGTGAGGTGATGAGATGCTCCTGAGTCTGGAAACCAATCACTTTCACTTGTGTTATCTCTTGCTGCATACATGGCTGAGGCATGGTTTCCTATACTTCTGTTATCACTGAAGTTCCTCTGGTTTTGCTCTCTTGGCACGAAATCTGGATTGAATCTGTTATAACACTTGTCTGCCGAGTGATTTGTGTAGCCACAAATTTGACATTGCACTCTATTTCCAGTATTTCTTCCACCACCTCTTCCTCTTATATTTCTGCCTCTTCCTCTGAAATTGCCCTTGCCTCTTCCTAAGCCAAAATTGTGTGTTGGCTTGTTTGTTTGAGAAGCAAAATTTGCTGTGGGCATATTAATGTTTTCAGTGGCAAGAGCAGTTGCTTCTAACCTGCTTTCATAAGTAAGCAACAAGGATGTAACATCTACCAAGGTGAGGCTTTCTGGCCTTGCATTGATACTTACCACAACTGCATCATATTCAGAACCTAGTCCACTTAGGACATGCATGATTTGATCTTGTTCTGAGATGTTGTGACCTCCAGCTGCTAAGGTGTCACAATAAACCTTTACCTTGTTTACATATTCTCTTATGCTAAGGCCTCCTTTCTTAAGGTTTTGAAGTTGGATTTTGTAATGCATAGTTCTAGCCTTTGATCTGGTTGAAAATGAGGCTTCTAGACCCTTCCAGATTTCAGAGGAATTGTTCATACCTATGACTGAAATCAAGACAGATTCTGATAAAGAAGAGAGGAGCCATGAAGCCAATAACTGATCCTGTCTTTGCCAGCTTAGAAATTCTGGGTTGATGTGCAGCAAGCCTTCTTCTTCTCCTGGTACAAATCTGGTTGGAGGAATGTTTGTGCCATCAAGGAAACCTTCTAAGCCATAGCCTCTTACTGTAGTAAGTACCTGCTGCCTCCATAGAAGATGATTTTCATCTGTGAGTTTAATGGTAATGAATTGGTTATGGAGAGGTATAGGTTGGAGACTAGAAGGCTGGCTGTTATTATGTAATGAGGAAGAACTCGAAGCCATGGTTCGAGCAACAAGAGATTAAAGAGAAAAGAAAGAAAAGCTATCCCTTCTCTGATACCATGTTGGAATTAATATGGAAACAAGAAACAAACAAAATGATAAAATGAAGAACTTGAAAGCACTCTATTGAGTTCACTGTATTTTTCAATACATAAAAACATACAGAATCATAACTACTTATGTAGAGCTAAACCCTAGAATATCATGTCATAACCAACTCATCCCACTACTATAACCATGACCACAATAAACTGTAAAAACTGCCGTGTCCATGCAGACTTCATGCATGTGAGGGTCCACGTTTCTCTTCATCCACGTTTCTCTTCATGTCTAACAGAAACTTTGGATAGTAACTATGAAAGTAATCAAATTGACAAATTTAACAGGATGAAGAAAAGTTTGGCAACTGTGCCAAGGCATGTTTAAATTTGCCTGCCTCTCATGAGACTGGAATAATTTCTTCATAAAGTTATGAAATAAACGTGATCGACCCTTTATGAAGGTCATGTTTTCAAATTACTGTTAATCTGTTAACAAATGGAATGAATTTGGATTTATATAACATGTATATCAAAATAATTTACTGCACGTTAACAAAAACCAATGGCACTTGATGATCATGAACAATATAGCTACAAAGATAAAGGTCCTTATAATTTTGAAGACAATGAGACTAAGTACAAATTATTTATATATTCCACATTATTCAAAGACAAATAAAATTACGAGCCTATTAAACTCCAAACCAATCAGAATAGATTCTCCACCATTTTTTATTGTACAAGTTGCTGATCAAATTTAAAAGAGCAATTCAAGTAATTTGAAATTTTTGTCTAAAAAAGTGAACCTGAAGGCTGAAGCCCCTCGTTCCCAGGACACTCCTCAAGTTGAATAATCAGAAAAAACGTAAGTTCCGACTCCTCAAACTCTCTTTTTGTAGTCGGGTCTCATAGCATAGCCTAACCCTAATCTGAAGTTCCACTTCCCCATAACACTCCTCTTGTTCCTCTAATATCTTTTTTGCAGAAATCACGAGAGAGTCGGAGCAATCATCCACATGGATCTCCCTAATCGTATTTATTTCCCCAATTCCCAATGGAATCTCCTTCAGCTTGTCTAGATTCTCTAGGTTGAGCCGCTCGAGTCGCGGGAAGTGCGTGGCCTCTGCCCTCCACTGTTTAAGATCAGAGCACCGCTTGATTTGCAAGTATTTCAGGCTCGGGAATCCACCCTCGGCTGTTTCCCACTCGGGCCCCACGAACGCATCAAACTTCAAATGGAGCGCCTCGAGATATGGCAAGGAGCCTATCTTTGTCCCCATCTCCTCCCACCCCAGCCTCGTGTCTTCCAGAGTCAGCTTCCTGAGCGAAATCGGGAATGACGTCACCTCAATTTGTGGAGAGGGATATGAAGAAGAGCATGAAATTGAAAGGGCCTCCAGCTTGTGTAGCCTACAGAGATTGTCGACACCATAATCATCGGTAATAATTCCCTCTCCAGCTTGTATACTATTCCCAGCTTCTTGATATTGGGGATTCTCTCAACCACTTCCTCACCCAACTTCAAGTTACATATGGTCTTGAGTGTGTCTAGATTCTCCAACACCATAGAACCATTAGGATCCGTGAGGTGGAGATTCTGTACCTTGACGTGCCTGAGTTGAGGCATCCGCCATAAGTCGAGCTTCTGCCGGGTAAAGGACCAAGGAGCTACTAACGTCCGTAGATTCCAGAGTCGGTAACATAATTTCATAGGAATCTTGATCCCTGGGGCATCCAGGTGGCACAAGTTGACAGGAAGAAATTTCTTTTGTTCAGAACATGCAGCCTCAAAAACATATGATTCATCTAATCCTTTCAGAACCCTAAACAATCTAAAAGAAGCTATAGATGGTATATGTCCATTGACATTCCATATCAGAGTTCGCGCTTGTGATGCGGATTGCACAGCTTCAGAGAGTGTTCTGAGAATGTATTTCCCGGCTTGATAAATGCCGATACGGCGTTGGGCACGCCAGCTAATTTGGTCGTGGTCAGGGTTGTGCGTTGTTTTCACCGTGCAAAACAATTTGTATTTCTTAGCTTCTTTTATGCATAGGTCTCTCACAAGATTGTGAATGGCACACAGTTTTATTCTTCGAGTAGGGCCCCACTTACGAACCAAGATTAGGTTTCTGATGACGAGACCATTTAGGTACACTTCTCTCGCAATTGTTTCCAAGCTTTTACCCGCCACCGGTTTCACTAATCCTTCATCAACCCATAGTTTGAGGAGCGTGGGGACGCGAATCTCATGGTCCTCTGGGAACATACCCATGTAGAGAAAACACGGCTTCAGGTGGACCGGAAGTTGATTGTAGCTCAACTGCAATATTCTAAAGCAACGCTCGTCCTCCTCTAAATTCACGATCGAGGTTAAATTTTCTAAAACATGTTGCCAGTTTTTCCGTGTCTTTTCAGACTTTGCTAGGAGTCCTCCGATCACGACAATTGACAATGGAAGGCCTCCGCATTTCCTGGCAATCTCCTTCCCAATCTCTTCCAATTCTGGAGGGCACCCTTGTTCCTGAAACACGCACCCACGCAACAAATTCCAACTTTCTTCCACCTTCAGAAACCTCATCTGAACGTAGTCTTGGCCGTCCAGTTGCAAAGCCACATTTGATGGCCTAGTGGTTATTAGTACTCTGCTCCCGTTGTTGTTATCTGGAAAGAAGTGGTTCACCCCATCCCACACGTCTGTATCCCAAATGTCATCCATCACAATCAGATATCGTCGATTGAATAAGCTTTGATACAGTTTTAATCCTAATTCATGTTCACTATCCTCACTCCCAATGGTTTCGAAACAGCGAAGGACTTGTAACATAATCCTTTTCGAATCAAATTCTTCAGAGACTGTAGCCCATCCGCGAATATCAAAGTGTTCCACAATAAGTGGATTTTCGTAAATACTTTTTGCAAGAGTGGCCTTACCAATGCCACCCATGCCGGCAATTGCAATGATCCGACGGCTGGATATCCATGATGTCGTACATGACATCATCGGAACCCACCATCGTGTTGTCCCCCTCGGAAGAAGGAACATTTAGCTTATCCATGATGTCGTTCATGACATCATCGGAACCCACCATGCTGTCATCCCCCGTGCAAGAAGGAACAATTTTTTCACCCATGTTCTCCATAATAGCAGCCACGTCTTTTGTGATGGAATTCAAGTCGTGCATCACTTTCTGTAGGTTTTGATACGAGCTGTTATTGGTATTAATTTGTATCTTTTTCTTCATGTTTCGATACAAAGAGCCAATGTTCGAACTGATTTTAGCCTTCACACGAGCCTCAATATGATCGACAATATAGGACTCAATTATATCCTCTGCTTTGTGAGCTGCGTCGGCTATACGCCCCACCAAGCCATCTGCATCATCAATGGTATACTTTTCGATAAAATGCAGCAAATAAGTAACCATTTCTATAAGAGGTTTGATTTGTAGTGTGTCGAGGGAGATGGGTGGGCGAGGGTGATTTTGGATTTGGCTATGGTGTGCGCTAGAGAAAGCAGAGCAGCATAAGCTTCCATGGATCCGCTTTGGTGAAATGAAATCCAATCTACTTTAGTTTGGAAGAGTGTATGATTTGATGAGAACTCAAGGCTGGAAAATTTTTCTGAAATGTTTGTGGTGAAGAAAAGAAAAACAATNCGAAAAAAAAAAAAAAAAAGACTTGTATTGTATGGCTGTGACTTGTGAAACAACTAGTTGCTCCATTGTTGCATAACGTTGACTTCCAGTTGGGACCACTAATTAGATTTAATTTAATCTAAATTATTGTATGATTAGGTGCTTAAATTGTCACAGGTTTCTGTCATACTTTAAAAAAATGGTTTGAAATATCATATATTTATTTTTAAACATTGTTGACATCATATTATATTAATTATGACTAATTGTATAATAGAATAATTTTCGTCTAACACCTAGGCCTATGGCCTCCTTCTTCGTAAAAAAAAATATATTTTTTTCTTTCTACATTATATGGTCCATCGGAGTAATATCCACGTTCGATGAAAATCGCATTACCCTGTGTGTAAAATTTTACCTGAACCCGTATATAAAAAATTATATTTATCCTTTTAATAAATATTAAGCTATCTGTTAATATTATTTATCAACCAAATAGTTTTTTTTTTTTCTTTTTTATGATATGATCTCGGGTCGGTNTTATGTTCTTTTTTTTCTTTTTCTTCTTTTTCTCGTTATTACTGTTGTTTTTACTCTTGCTTTTATGCATTATTGGAATTTATGGTTTAGGTTTTTCCTGGATGGATTTTAAGTGAAGTGTACCAGGAGTTGGATTTTGACTTTGAAGAGCCTGTGAAAGATTGTGTTGGAATTTTTGGTTTTAATAAACTGAGTTTATGAGTTGATCAGTTGGTTTAAAGCTATTTGGCATCATTTGGTGTAGGCAATGCTTTGTTTTTATGGAACATAATCTTGTATAATACTTTGTCATGTGATTGCCAGGGCTGTACTCCTTGGAAAAGAAGTAAAAAGAAAAACATTGTTCATACACAAAAATTCCAATGGCATAGTAAATATATAGTAAAAATGTTGGTGCCTCTTGTTTGTATTACTGCTAACTGTTAGTAGCACGGTTAGATTGTTAATGACTTTCCTTGGTACTGACACGATTTTCTGGCTTCATTTCTGAAGTATACTTTCTTAAGGGTCATTCTCTAAATGACGTTGTTAGTTGTTCAAGGCACTCTTTCTTGAGGGCCATATCAAATCACAAAAAAGGTTATGATCTTTGGCATGGATTATGTTTATTTGTTTTTTCCTTGGTCTCTTGTGTAAAATTTACTGAAAAATCACATAATTGGAAACATGTTCTCATTCATCATCTCAAATCGAACGTGCAGTTCATGCAGACGGGTTTTACCCTACACAAAATAAACCCACTCCTCACTCCTAAACTAAACCGTTTCACTATAAAAATAATAAAGATATAAAAAACAACGTAATTTTGTTTATCTTGCGGATCCCATTCCGATAAATTTTGTATATCAATGCATAATTTTTATGCATTGATCAGTTAAGCTCCTTAGTTGTAGTCGGTTGCTGCTACTCTTTGTATGCATTGATTAGTTACTGTGTAAATTTTTGTACCTCATTAGCCGGTGGTAGTTTATTGAGTCTCAAGATAATTTTGTGCAGCCCACCATAGTCGAGATTTCTCCTTGTGCTGTGGCTGTGAAGAAAGAGTTGTTTGGTCCTCTTCTTTACATAATGAAGTTTCAGGACTACTCCATTTCCTACTTGTACTGTATGAAGGTTTTCAGTTTAGCAGATAATTTCTTTCCTTTTTTTTTTGTTTTTTATTTTTGTAAACAGGTCGAAAACATGGAGCATAGCTGTTGCAAATATTTCATAAAGTTATGAAATAAAAATGATCAACCCCCTATGAAAGTTCTGTTTTCAATTACTGTTAATCTGTTAACAAATGTTCCCCTGAATGCAATGCCTCGAGATATGGCAATGAGCCTATCTTTGTCCCCATATCCTCCCACAAGAGGTATGTCGGGACCATGATCTGGTAGTGAAAATTCCTCGGTTCTACCAGCGTATTCTATTCCCAGCTTCTTTGATATTGGGGATTCTCTCAACCACTTCCTCACCCAATCTCAAGTTACGTACACCCTTGAGCGTCTCTAGTTTCTCCAACACTATGAAAAATAAGGGGAGAAAATATCAAAAGAGAAGATCCTTGAAAAAGTTGAAAACCAGAAAATCAGGAAAAATTAAGAACAAAAAATGCAAATTTAAGTTGAAGAGAACTTACTCATGGTAGTAGGTCGGAGAGAACGCCGGAAAACTGGAATTGCAGGTCGCCGATATCAATTGCAGAAAGCGCGAGAACAAGAGTTAGGGAAGTATCTCGAAAATTCGCAAGGGTGAAAAACCATGTGGTATTTTAGCACTGCCAACCATGTGGCGCAAGTTTACCAGATGAAAAAAATTCTCCCAACGGCTGTCTGCACGCCTCCTCGTAAAAATTTAATCCATAGAATGCATTCAGAACCCTAAGCAATCTACAAGGAACTAGAGATGGTAAAATTCCAACAACGTTCCATATCAGAGTTTGCGCGTGCGATGCGGATTGCACAGCTTTAGGGGGTGGACGGGGAATGTATTTCCTCTCTGATGCGGCTGTTTTACGAAGGATTCCGTACTCGAGATGTTGAGTGGACTGTGTTGTAGGCATTGCCTTCGACTTAAAAAGAAAAACTAGTACAGTTGCCCGTGTAAATGCACGGGAGCTACAAAAAAAAAATAAAAAAAATTAAAAAAGCATTTGCAATTCATATAAATTCAGAACAACGTTCTTCGTCTTTGAGTTGTTTTTATCATCACAAATTAATATTTTCAATCTTTTCACATTTGTAACTCTGAAACAGCGATGTAAAGTTTTGAGTTTTTTTTATCATCACAAATTAATATTTTCAGTCATTTCCCATTTGTAACTCGTGAAACAGCGACGTAAAGTTGGTACAGAGTTCTTCATGTATAACACTCGTATAATTTAATCATCAATAACTAAAATCTATATTTTATTTTTGATATGCATAAGATATAATTACGGATCAAAAGTCCTTACAAAAGGAGCCTTTAGCCAAATCGGTAAAACTTTTGAAGTTATACATAAACTTCGAGAAATTTTTATTTATATCTGCCGCTGGGGTAAAACTTTGAAGTTATACATAAACTTCGGGAAGTTGGTGCTACAATAAAGTGTGGATACCCATGACTCCATCTTCTGTGATGAAACGTTTGAACAAATCTACATGAATCTTTTTAATTGAGACCTGTACAACGTTAAAAACACAAATATTAGAAAACAAAATTAAATAGCATATGTATAATAAAGATTTTTTTTTTTTTTTTGAAAAAAAAGTCTTAAAAGAATCACCTCAATATCAACTCCCAGAGAACGGTATTTCAAGCAGTCAATATTGCATCACAAGGTGCAAGTAACGATTCAAGCCACTAACAATGTACCTTACACACGTGTGTTAACTTCTATATGATTTTAACTTGCAAACTCACAACAATGTAACTTACACACGTGTGTTAACTTCTACCTAACTTTAACTTCCGAACTGACTTTCATGACTTCTATCTAACTTTAACTTTCAAACTGACTTTCATGGTTTTAGGGTGTATTTTTAACGTCTAACAAAACTTACAAACATGTAGTAACTTCTATCTGACTTTAACTTCTAAACTATTTTAGAGGTATATTTTTAACTTCCATATGTAGACGTGTTACTGCGTTGTTTTAGTATTTTTTTTTAAATAAATATCTTATGACCGTATTTTATTTTGAACTTTGTTTAGTGTTGTTAAGTATGTTGGACTGGTTTGCGTATTAAAAAATAAAATATTTTATGAATATAAATTTATAAGTATAAAATAAATAAATTAACTACCTACCATTTAACATTTATATCATATTTTTATGTTATCGCGATATTACTAATAAACACAAAAGTATTTACGAAATACTCTTTTTATTATGTAATTTAATATTTATTACATATATTGCATATATATATATATAATACTATTTGTTTAATCGATTAATTTAATCAATGTTTTGGATTTTTCAACTTGTAGAAAATGAATCAAAAAATATTCTACAAACATGATGTTATTTATTTATTTCTTTATTATGAAGAATGTTTGTGTGATTCATCGCGCATGTTTTTAAATAATTTTATATCTAATTTCACTATTATTAGATTTAATTTGTATGTTGTAGAAAATGAAATAAAAAATATTATACAAACATGTTGTTATTTATTTATTTATTTATTATGAAGAATGTTTGTGTGTTATTCATTGCGCATGTTTTTAAAATATTATATATCTAATTTCATTACTATTAGATTTAATTTTTATGTACAAAATTTAAGATAAAAAAATTTAAAAAATTATGCATACGAATACTTATATTATTTTAATTTGTAAAGTATGAATTATGAAAATTAGATAAATAATTTTAACTAAAATACTTAATAAAAAATAAAATAAAATTCTATAAAAATATCTGTCAAGTACAAACAACCCCGTACTTTTAATTGTTTGTATTAAGAAAATGAGTCACAACTGATGAACTTTTAATTGTTTGTATTAAGAAAATGAGTCACAACTGATGAACACGTGTTATCGGTAAACTAAATAAATATTAGGTGAGGCAATTAATATTAATATAAATATGAACACGTGTCAAAGAATGTGAGAATTTTTCAAAAATAGTAAGAGTGTTGTAGGACTCACATAAAACTTTCTAAAAATGGCAAGTGTGTTGCTAATTATATATAGATAGATGAGAGTAACAAGTCGAGCCAACCACAATTAAAAAAGGCACTAGTTGAGAGGCATGCTCATTTTATTTTTTATTTTTATTGTATTATTATTATTATTATTAATTATTTTTTATTTTTAGTTCAATTTTAATTTAGTGGTTGAAATTTGTTTAGGAAATGAAATGTGTGATAGCTAGTTGGTTCGTTGATGAAGAAATCGGGCCGGACCATTGATTTTAGAGGAGGGTAAAAAAATGAGTGTGTAACTGGCAGGTAGATGGGCCCAATTTTATGTGTACCACAAGATTTTTAATTAATTGCTGATTTTCGTGGTCAGGGTTGTGCGGCGTTGTTTCGATCATGTGAAAGAATTTGTATTTCTTGGCTTCCTATATGCATAGTCTCTCATGAGATTGTGGATGGCACATCGTTTTATGCTTCTGAGTCAAATTCTTGAGGGGATGCTTGGATACAAAAAAAAATTCAAATATTTTTAACTCAATTATTTTTTTTTAACTTAACTTTAACTCAATCCAACTATCATTAATATTATCTATATATATATAATAAGAATTAACATTTATTAAAAATAGTATGTCAATTTATGGTCAAACCCCGGTCTGCATTAATTTTTTTCCATAAATGGCAGGTATTAATTTTTTTGGATAATTCTTTTTCACACAATGCATTAATTAATTTAAATTCATTCCATATATGAGTTGTTATTGTTTCATTGTACAGCCACAAAAAGCGGTCTTATCCCGTTAATTTAATTTTTTTGGATAATTCTTTTTCACACACTGCATTAATTAATTTAAATTCATTCCATATATGAGTTGTTATTGTTTCATTGTACAGCCACAAAAAGCGGTCTTATCCCGTTAATTCTAATGAGCCGATATTTGGTTTTAGATAATTTAAAGAAACAAAATCCTCATGCGGCCTTATTGTTTGAATATTTAAAATGTCCATTTTTTTAATATTTTCCCTTAAGAATCGGTTTTATAAGATGAGAAAAAAAAATGTGTATAAATAAAAAAAAAAATATAACTATTCGATTTAAATCCAATTGCTATTCTATTCATCCTTGCATTAGTAAACGGGTAGGTGGATATTATATTGCTAAAAACAACAAATATATTATTGTAATAATAAATTGACTAAATTGGTTAAATATAAAATAATTAAAGGATCTAAGTTTAATATTATATTGCTATTCAAATTTTTATTATGCTATGTCGATATAAATTATAACATCTCTTTTGTAATTTAGATGTAGAATCGAAGAAATTATATAATAATATATTTCATATGTTAATAGTTAGTATTTTTATTAACTTTATAAAAATAAAATGTGTGCTTAATCAAGTTTGTTATTCATTTCCTAAAACAACTGCACGTGTTGTATTAATTAAGAATAGTCAAAGGTAAGGTGATTATTATCTCTAAAAATCTTTAGAGAATATCCGCATCAAATAGATAGAAAAAGCACGTGCTGATTATCTCTAATTCATTAACACGGTTTTATTTTTTTTATACAATATCTACTAAAATTAAAAATTATATTGTTTCCATTTGGTAGGACTTTTTTTGGTAGAAGAGTTTATAAATGCCGACTAGATGTACTCCTCAACTACACGACAACATATATAATATTTTTCTAATTAAAATGTTAAATAAGTTATTAACACAGTTTTATTTTTCCAACATAATCTCTACTTAACCAGAGTTTTAATGCAAACATGCGATCTAATATATCTTACCCCGGTCTGCATTCACCGGATAACAAACGCGTATTTTACAAGAAAATAAAATTACTTCTCTGCAATGGATCAAGCATTTGGGTTAATCAAAGATATTAATAGGAGCAAGAGACCTATGCTTAAAGTTCGCATTGTGAGGATGTTTTTCAAGATAAGGGCAGCACATACAAGTCGCATCTCGAGCTTATTTTGCATGATAAAACTGTAAGCATATGGTTTCGATTTTATTTTTCAATATAAAAATATATGCATGTATTCATATTTGTTATTTACATACCATATTAATTACTTTTCAATTTCCTATTTCAAT